AAAAGCCGGCCGCTCCCTGCGCGCCCCACCTGCTCCGCACGCGGATCCTACCTGTGGAGTCCGCGGGGGACGCGGGGAGGGCGCCCCCTCCGAGGACACCGATCCTTTCTCCTCCTTCGAAAACCTCCCGCCCAGCTCCCCGCGTCTCGGACAGGAGGCGCTGGGACCCGGGACAGGGCACCAGGCTTGCAGCTGGTGACATGTAGATTCCTTTCTCTGCCACCCCCCTTCCCCGCGGTCCAGCCTCGGAACCCGGGCGCCCTCCCGCCCTGAAAGTTTGGGGTTGGGCGCCATGGCCAAGATCAGCTCCCTGAATGTCCGCGTGGTGGAGGGCCGGGCGCTGCCCGCCAAGGACGTGTGAGTCCTCCCGAAGCGAGGGGCGTGCGGGGCACGGGGTGGGGTGGGGGTCGCCCATTCCGCGTGCCGGGGAGGGTCGGTGAAGTGGGCATGGGTTCCTGTCTAAGACGCTGAGACCCTGTATTGAGGCAGATACACCTTCATGGGGGGAGAGGCCCCATGCCCATCGCTGCCCCATGCCCAGATGCCCGCCCTGCCCCCCAGGCTGGATGTCTTTGATCCTGGGATGTAACTAAAGGGTCTTACAGAGCGGCAGCCGGAGATTGGAGGGGCAGATTCTGTCGCAGCTGGAGATGGGCGTGGGGATGGGGATGGGGATGGGGAGGTGTCGCTCCTGGCTTGGGTGGGCTCCTATCAACAAAATGGGAGGAGTGTGTGTGTGTGGGGGGGGGGGACCCGGGTGGAGTCAGCAGTTGCCGGGTCAGCAGAATGGTGGTGGGGGGGGGTCCCCCTCCTGCTTGGCCTGGAGCCCAGAAGGGGTTCTGAGGGTGTCAGCACCTGGTGTAGGTATGGGATCCTTGTCAGGACATCGGCTGTTTGACCTTGAACCTGGGTCTCTCTGGGTCTCCATCTCCCATCTGTGCAATGGGAGCCCTGGACCGGGTCTCCCAGCCCCGTGCAGCTGGGAGGGTGGAGGACCAGCTAGGACTTACCCTGCGGCCAAGGTGAGCAGGAACCTGGGTTCTGAGCCATTGCTCTGCCTGACTCCCCCAGCTGCGGGCCCCCAGCTGCGGGCCCCCAGCAAGGAGCACCCTGCCTTCGATTCCACCACCTGCCCCCTCCCCAACGCTGCAGCTGTGTCCAGGGGGGCGCTGCTTGGAGCCCCTCCATCCTCCTCAGCCGCCCCCAGTCAGCACAGCCCCGCAACCCACGGAGGCCGAGGGCTCGCTGCTGTGCGAATGCGGCACCTGGACAAGCCCCTGCCTCCCTCTCTGAGATGTCCTCCCTGAGCCCCGAGAAGAGAGACCCCGGAAGCGTTGGGGCAGTGAAACCAGGAGGGGGGCCTGGAGGCTGATGGAGGCTGGTGAGGCCGCGAGGGAGCGCCATCTGCCCCTCCAGGGAGGGAGTTGAGTCACGCGTGGTTCCCATGCCACCCTCCTCCCCATGTTCCTGGGCCAAGGCCACGCCCTCGAGCAAGGGTAGGGAGTCACTAAGCCCCAGTTGGGGATCTGGCCATCCTGCCTCAGTTTCCCTAGCTGTTGGCTCCCTTCTCCACAGGGGCTCTCCTCAGAGCGTGCTGGGATCTCCCCGCCCGCGGGGACTCAGCTAGGGCGTGTTCTCGTCCCTCTCCTAAGGAAAAGGCTGGATTCTTCCTGAAGCCTCCCCAGATTCTAGGGCGTCTGGACTTGGCGTAAGAGGAAGACTCAGCGGGTGACTTTAGAGTTACTGCTATCACTGATAACAGTAGCTGTGCCCTGGCTGGTGGCTCAGTGGTTAGAGCATCGACCTGTGCACTGAAGGGTCGAGGGTTTGACTCCTGGTCAAGGGCACAGGGTTGCAGGTTCGATCCCCGGCCCCAGTCTGGGCACATGTGGGGAAGCAATCAGTCGATGTGTCTCTCTCACATCAATGTTTCTCCCCCCCCCCAACACACACACTCTTTCTAAAAATCAATGGGAAAAACATCCTCCGGTGAGGATTAACAACAACAAAAATAATAAAAATAATCGCTGTACGTCACCGAGGCTGATAGGGACCGGGTTCTGCGCTTAGCGTTTCCTAGGCTTCTGCTAGCACTTCTACTTTACAAATGGGGAAACTGAGGCCCAGAGTGGCAAAGTCACTTGCCTAAGGTCACGTGGCCGGGATCTGAAGCCTGACCGCTCCCACGCCCACACCAGGCTGGGCAGGCCGTGGCCGCGGGGCCTGCTTCCCCCCCTCCCCAC